ATGGACCAATACTAAACGTATATTTTTATCGTCTAATTATTAAATAACTAAACTATTCATACTCATATTCCTCTTATTATAAACTTTATTTTGACCTATGAACTATTATTATACGATTTACCATTCTTGAATCATGCCCTGTCTATTAGTCACTGCCTCCCACATTCACAGCCACATTTTGCCAAATTTTGTACAAATGTTATTTTCTATTTTATGCTACGTTGTGGTCTGTTTGATTAGTATATAAACTCCGTATGTTTGAAATATAATGATTTATATTGCAGAGACTGAGGCTGGTGTTCTGGACTTAACTAGCTGGGCTAGGCGGAAAGCAGGACCGATCAGGGCTCTAGGCTGCTCGCACGTGTTTTACGCGTCCTCAGTCCGATCGATAATTCGCTGCTTTTGATTGGAGGCTTTGGGCTATAACAGAAAGTGTTCAGTCAACTATCCCTATGTTTTTTTTCTCATTTTGATCCAAGTAGCTTTAGCTGTTGATGTTAGTGTGTATTAGGCTAGTTCATTCTGGTTTATTACTTAACAAGCAATGTTTAAGTCATAGATACTGTTAGTCTCAATAAAATCACGTTACACGCGTCTGAATTTTAGTTGAATTGAATGAGTCATTCATCATACATGCCGTGAGCTGAATACAAATTAAGCAGTCTTTTCAAGGTAATTGTAATGATGACTAATTATCATACGTTTGTAAATTGTATGTCAGGTTAGACACTTGATTAATTAGCTATTTTTATTGACATGCCATCCTAGTTGTAATTCTAAACTTGGTTGTACGATTAATCCCAATAAGGGTGCTACTACGAACCAGGATCCACTAGACGTCACTTTCGCCTTAGAATGCGACAAATTCACTGTAAGTATCCACTTCTTCAGCCATAGAATTTAAGACCCTTAGAACTTGTGGGAAATGTTTAATCATTAAGACCAATTCGGTGGTACAGTTCTCAAACTTCAGTCCATTCCCAACATATTATGTAGGTCATCGAGTTCATTAGTGACAACTGTCCCATTCTAGATATATCTAAAATCTCTAGTTTTTAAAAGTATTCTGCGATCAATTCGTGATGAATATCACAAATTAAAATGATCTTCACAATCCCCTTCATGTAGACTGTTTTTTTTATTCAATGATTTAAGGAGTATGTTGGGTATCCAATGGAATCATTGAAAAAGTAACCTAAAATTCATTTAATATTAAGTATTCTGCAATGACTTAACTGGACTGTTGTTATGACCTTGATCTGTCTACTCCAGATTGAGACCTTGACGCAATAGGTTGGCCGGTTTAACCTTGAGGCTAGTACGCGTGAGTTCGAGGTGGGGTAGAGAGAAAACTAATCTAGCACCCGATCGGCTGGCAGGCACGCGAACGAGAGAAGACAAGACAGTTGGAACACTATTGGCTGTATTGCGATATCCTGATTTCCTGTGAAATCTCTGAATTCAGATTAGTGCGAAAAGGTACATGAATAAATAGGTGATTTACCTGGCCACAACGTACAATAATTTGGGAAAATACAATTATATCCAAAACTGGGAATTAGGGTAGAAAATAAGGTGCCAAAATATTATGTTTAAATTATAATAGCTTCGGAACAAAAAGGGGTATGGCAATGAATGATACACCGAACGAAAGCTTATGTTCTGTAGAATAAAATAGGGACAGAAATAAATGTCAATGTTTTACAAGCTTTGAATAAAATGAAATAACGTCCCGAAAAATAGCTTTCGTAGTTTGTCAGGGCTTCTTGTTTCCCGGTTCACATCAACTGTAATGATCATTACAATATTAATTGATCTAAAGGTAACATGCTCATGAGCTTGATCCTTAGCTGGATCATTTTTATCTGTAGACTGCTGACAAACTTTATAATATGACAAAACAACTATCCAATGCTCCACAGATCCTCAGCTTACAATTTTACATATTAAGAACTAAATTCAGTTTACAGATCACAGTTGAAACATTTGAGGAGAGCAGTTATAAATGATGCCTATCTTTAATAACTGATTTCCTGCGTTAAACTGATCTCCCCATTTAGTAAGTAATATAGTGCATTATTTTTGGCCTCCAGTTTTTATTTGATCCTGTAAGGACTATAACACTATATTCCTAGCAAGTATATCAGTGGGTTGTCAGCGCATCATATATGTTGCACAGGATCATACATCTCACAATCTATAGAAATAAGCGACAATTCATAAATGCCAAATTTTTGGGATTCTTCTCGGTGAATCTCCTCAAATTCTAGTAGTATACAATGACAGGTAAAATTAAATAGTTCAATGGTGTTATATCCCGATGAGAATAATGATTGGTCACTGTTGGAATCTATTTCTGGAGTAATACTATGTGTATATGTGTATCGTATAATTGTTAAGTAACTAAACTATTCATATTCATGTTCCTCTTATTATAAGCTTTATTTTGACATATGAAGTATTATTATACGATATACCATTCATGAGTTATACCCAGTCTATCAATTACTATCTCCCACATTCACAGCCACATTTTGCCAAATTTTGTACAAATGTTATTTTCTATTTTATGGTACGATGTGATCTGTTTGATTGGTATATAAACCCAGTATGTTCGAAATATAGGATTCATATCTCAGAGGCTAAGATTGGTGTTTCTGGACTTAACAGGCAGGGCTAGATAGGAAGAAGGACCGATAAAAACTATAGACTGTTCGTACAAGCTTTATGCATCATTGATTCTGTCGATAAATCACTGTTCCCTAATTGGTGTTATCATTACGTCATAGATTAATAGGGCACAAAGTCATAAGTTATAACAAATGGTAAAACAGTTATTTGTAAATAAATCCTCTTATTTTGTCTAAATTTGTCTTGTAAAAGTTGAGCGACTTGAATATTCTATATGATGAACCCCTTGTAACATTGTTACTGTGCTCTACTAATTAACCATTCATGATAGAATGAAATAATTGTGTTTACTCACTTGTTACCATATCAATCATTTGGTATAAGTTTATTTTCAAATACATTAAGACAATTATTATGTGTTATATTTCACATGAAAACAAATTTTATCATACATTTAATTATAGATATTAATCATAAATTTGAACTTGGCGATAATATAAATGAATTCGGTAACGTTACAGGCTACATTCACTCTCAATTATGACATCATTTACTAACAAAAAAAGTTAGGACAATCTAATAATAGTAATAGTAATAATAAAAATAGTAATGATAATACATCCATACTAGATGAGCGATATTTCAAGCTTTAAGCGTTATTTGACCGCTATATTTTCTTTAATCAGTAAGTTGTAATCCTCATGACCTTAGAATCATATTGTTAAATGAATATAAAGTGTATGTAACAACTAATCTCATAAATTGAGATAACCATTTTAACTTCTATCTGACACAATCACTTTGTGTAGTCTTATGAAATAAATTTGGGTCAGTCATACGACTTTATTAACTGACGAAATATAAATTGTAATTATAATGTATACTATTTTTGACAAATTAAAGAGATCAGTTTAGAGGGAGAGGTTATAGATGTTGTAGAATATTTCAAGTTTAAATTAGGAACTGACCTTAGCTTAATCGCCATTATAGAACTTGAAAACTTTGGACAGCTACTTTGTCCAAGTATGAGAAGCTATTAACCAGTGTAGTCTAATCACGTTGCATGTGTGAAATTTATCCACCACAGATTATGGAAAGCGATTGCTCATTATCGGGAATTAATTCAAGTTAGACACGTACACTATCGAGTCCCGGCTTAGTAGTCGAGAGGCCAAGTGTTTGCGTATTAGACTTTTAGTGGCCCACTTTTATCAAGAGAATGAGATTGGTTTAATGGAAACAATTATTATTATAACCAATTGTACCAGTGATTGTTTTACTGTGCTTGTTTGTTTAACTGTACTAAAGACATCGATTATTCTTCCATTCTTTCTTTCGTTGATTGTGGTCTTGCACAAATTCGGTTACGCTCAGTAGCCACACTTGTACTCCTTTGGCACGATCTCGGTACTATTTCGATACCACGAGTTCGTCAATAAATACATCTCGACTACAGCCATCAACTGCCTTCTGATATTTGGCCTACGGGGGATCTTATCGGTTAACTGGCATGTAGTTTTCTTGTAGTGGTGATCATAGTCAACCTCGACTCGACGCCACACTACAGACTGAAGACTCGATAATGAGTGGCAAAATCCTTGGTACACATCGCTGGGACGAAACAGCTGTTTCTTGCTTCTTAATTATCATCAGTGGTCGGGCTAAAATCAGTTTATAAACTATTAAAATTGAGGAGTCCATATCACCGATTGACTTTAATTGAACCACGACAACTTGCCACCACTGCTCTTTGTTTATCTGATTAAGTTAATTCTCTAGGTTAATTGCCTTCAACTTAAACACAATCTTCAAAGAACTTTCATCTTAATTTTAATAAATAACATATGAAAAATCACATCAGAACCCTACAATTATTTCCAAACACTTGTTCTAAATTATTAAACAATGAAATCATTTATTTCCTCATATGCTAAAACTCATCATCAATTAACATTAACTATATTTAATTTTCCTATCAACTATTACAGACAAATCGTTGATTTAAACAGATTACAATGTTCCGAGATTCGAACTCAGGACCTATCAGTCTCGCGCACGAATCTCGCGAGGTGGGATTGTGGATACGCACTTCTGAAGAGTCTCATAATAGGACAAAATGGCCATCCAGTGCTTCCAGGTTTTCCATAGTGGTCTAGATTCAATTGATTCATGATTTCAACCATTGAAATTACTATAATATCCACAAAAACCCTTCTGATAAAACAGATTATTGAATAAAATTACTCATTATATGTTTATTAGAAAATGAAGTCTAAGAGAGTACAGTATATAAACCCATATAGCTAAAGATTTTAAAGAATAACAAACTAGATACAGATCAAAGAATAATAGATTGATAGATACATTTCACATTGAATGGATTCATATAGATACTAGTTAGTTACATAATTTCGAATGAATATAAACTAATGATCTAATTATTAGTAATAATAAGTTTAGAATCTAAAAAAAAGAAAGAGAATAACAACAGTTGTATAAATCTTTTCTTCCGATTCATCATTTGATTGATTTCTACCACATTGATCAAATTACTGAATCTTAATTAATTTAATGAGAATAAATAAATTAGGATACTGAACGCTATTGAAATGAATATTGATTTGACTTGAACACTGTTAGTTAGAACACTTTGATTACATGCATCATCTGTACAAATACAATAACGCATTTTCACTTTATCTGTACCCACTCTGTCTATACATTGAGGGAATTCCGGTGAGATTGCACTACAATCACGATAGATTCGTACAGTTGGCCTATTCGTAACATTATGACTATACATATATGGTGCCTCCTGTTTAAATATTAAACAAAATAAAAGTAAGGTGAATGGTGTAGATTATATACTACTTATATGAACAAGAACAGTGTATTCTCGTCTTGTAAATAATAAATAACATGAAACTGAAATAATATCTAACATCTGTTAAACAAAAGTCGACTGTTCTAATTCAGTTAGCTCATTGAAAAATTTCTTTGATGCTTGGAAGTGATGGATTTTGAGTTCATGATTAACTAGCAACAATAATACTACTTATAAATAATATGTAATTATTAATCATTACTGTAGAATTGGCATAAATATGCTTTACTTCAAGTTTCAACACAAAAAAAAGAAAGTCAGAATATGATAAGCGCTGATAATGCCAATTAACCATTAAGAATATAATTGGAAAAGAAAGAACAAAATGCATAAAACAGCATTATTAAACTTAAGCTGTTTAAGAGATGGTAATGAATGAATAACATTTAATATCATTAACTGCATATTCTGTCTGTTTCAGGCTTTCCAAGTTCATAAAATAAGTTATCATGTTTAAGTATTTAGTACAGAAAAAGATCGGATAAACGGATAGAATAAGGACCTCTTAATTAGAATTGAGAAAATAACTTTCGGGTTTTCATGAAACATTAAAAAACAAAAGATTTTATCTTCTATCATCTAAAATTAGTATTCGAAACATCATTCTATAACACTCAAGATCCTAACATTAAATTCCTAACGTCAAATCTTTAATCCTAAACTCTTAATCCCTTAGTAATAACACTAAATGGATCCGCTGACTAGACACTATCAGCAAAAACCTACTGTGAGAGAGAACAAGCCAGATCCCAGTGGAGGAAGAAGCGCTGGAAGTGAATTTGACACTGTGGTGTTTGAATGAATTGATGATTCCTTTGTACTTGTTGAATGCTTGATTTCGAATTCCAAATACAGAACATTCGTTCGTGTTTATCTAGTACTTCTTGATCCGGTTACGTCAATTCTGGGATTCTTAGTTCATACTATAATTCAAATACTCCTAATCATCATAGACACACATTGAGGAAAGCACCCAACTACGTCACAAGGCAAGCCCTCACATGGAATCCTCAAAGCCAAACGAAAAGAGGAAGACCAAAGAATACATTACGCCGAGAAATGGAGACAGACATGAAAAGAATGAGCAAAAATTGGTTAGAACTAGAAAGGAAGAACCAAGACAGAGTGGGTTGGAGAATGCTGGTCAGCAGCCTATGCTCCATTGGGAGTAACAGGCATAAGTTAGTAAGTATATAATAACACTAAATATCTAACCTTAAGTTTTTAATCCTATCCCTAACCAGGAGCAATGTAAGGACTCCTGAAAATTTATTTTAATACTACAGAGGTTTGAAAAGATGTACAATCCGTATTCATATGGACGAATTTATATTTAATTTTTTTAATTTTATTAGTAGAGTAATTTGTAGAACACTTTAATAGATTAATTGTAATATTATTGTCCTTTTTTTCATAAACCATTTATTAACCAAAGCCATTCTCGAGTTGACTAAAATTCGTCATGGCTGTTTTAAGCTCATTCTTGTACTACATATACTCTTACTATATAATATTTGTCTAAGTTATTAAAATTCCCATATTCAAGTATCGGACAATCGATAGATAGATATATTCTGATATTTCATAAAGAAAAGAACTAACACTGGCTATTAGATGTTTTCTCACGCAATCATAAATCTGCTAAGTTCACTTTCACTTTCACTATCAGCAATCAGTTAATAATGACTGAAATCTCTTCGTATTGTTTGTTTGTGCTCATGATTAGATAAAGTTCCAATTAATTCATCTGTTGATGACTAATTGATTATTCTTGGAAATAGTTCATTGTAATCATTGTATTGACTTGATGTTCAAAAGCTGGTTGAATTTCATTAAATATAAAAAAGGATTTTAAATGATAATCTTCATTATTCTATATAATATTTTGATCTGTTTCATTAATGATGGAGAAGATTACATTGATAACATGTGTATTGGAAACACCATTCAATCATGCGTAAATGATTGACTTATCAATATTGAGATTAAGTAAAGAGTTTTATACAAAAAAAGGTGATTGATTCAATGAGGTTTTGAATGGAGACTAAGTGTGATAGCTAGAATATATATATATATATATATATATATATATATATATATATATATATATTACTCAGCCCAACTTCTGAATGCTTAGTTGAATTATGCTGTTGTAAGTGGGTAAAATGCCAACGATGAACAGATGAAGAAATACTACCAGAATGGTTGGAATGATTTGCGGAAGTATGAGCTCTCTGAAGGAGATTCCAAAGACATCAGATAATCGAAAGACAAATGAACTAAGTTATTTGATATACATATATATTGGTAAATATTCACTTACTCTTACATTCATATGAGACTCTTTGACTCTAGGTGGCCTAATTACGTGTACCTAACAATCGGGAAAAAGCACTTCACGATAAAAAGCTCAAGCTAATCCCTCCTACTTACATCATAGTGTAAGACATTATAATTGTTGGACAATTGTAAGTCAATTATTCAGTATTTTTATCCAAGTTAGCAAATAAACTTCATGTCTCAACTACGACAAATACAATAACTATTCATTCAGTCATCTTGTCTTTAGTAACTCAACTTTAAGTACAAGCTAATAGAATATCAAGTAATTTCAACTAGTTCAGGGCGTTACAAACTTAACCGATAAAAAGTTGATCATTATAATAAACTATATAATAAATACAATACAACTGATCAGTTTAAAGAAAGAATAATATTTAATAGTTTCTCATGATCAATAGCCCTAACCCAAATAAAATGATGCAAATTATTTATAGGTCACTTCAGTTGACATCATTTACTAGGAAGATAATACTTTGTTTAAAAGCTTTGAACTAATTGTTAGGGAGGACACAATTATAAAGTGTATTTAATGACCTTTTATCTCATTTTGGAATTATACCAAATAAACCTGGGACATTAACATTCAATATTTTCCTCATAAGTTAATCATGCAAAAAATTAAGATTAATTAATGTTATATAGAGAAAATCTGTTACATGATATTGTAGATAAATAAATATTACAAGCCAGGAAGTAATAGATAGCTGTTTCGTCCTAGCATAGGGTTGATCAGCAATACGCATCCACTACATCACCAGCAGCCATTAAACCAAGGAACTCCCTTCTCGCGCATGAATGCTTAACCCCTAGTTCAATTAACCGGCATCCAATGATATACAGGTTTAACTTCAATCAGTTCATGATATTGAGCAACCGTCTTCGATTGTCTGTAATGGACAACTGTTTTACAGTCAACATTGGCCACGGCTTCTCATTAGATCTCCAGGAACTGTATCTTAAAGCTAGTCATTAGTGAGCACACGATTATAATTACTATAGGGGATCTGTGGAAACGTTATTTTGTGAAGTAGTGGATGTGCACTGTTGAAGAGTTCTCTATGAGGACGAAACGACTGTCTGATGCTTTCATGCTTTCAATTGTGATCTAGCAAAGATCAGTTCATGATATAAACTATGAAAATTCAACAATTTCCATAAGCCTCTTATAGTAAAGTGCATACAGTTCACTTATCCATAACAAAATTATAATCGAACAATGGTGTCGAATTAAAAATATGTTGTGTTCTACGGTTCAAATTGGTTAACGACTCACACTGTCTAAACACTTACCTTGATAATTATACAGAGTAAAAGACTGAGAGTGCATAATAGGATCATTATCACAAATATAATAATAATCTAAATAACTCATTTGTATGTGTACATATATCTACACTGACCTAGATACGGAAAAGCTTGGTGATGTTTATCTGATAATTAACTTATTTCCAATCGAGAAATCTTAGTTGCATTTCTCACTTATCAAATGGTTTTACAATAGTATATGACCTACCCAGTCTTCCCTGATATATATTTGTATTTATGATTATTGATTGATCATTAAATAGTAACCAATTTCATGTTTGTTTATTCCCTTAGTGTTGATCGAATTCTATCGATCAGGTTGTAACGTGGCAATTATTCTAAATGACTCGACACCACATGCACTAAGATATTAGGTAATTGGAGGTACTCGGCAGCAAGCTTCACATAACCTTGGCTTCATGCTAGTTGACAGTCGTCAACAACAGATTTCTACAATCTTGAGAGGACTAATGCTCCGAATAATATTTGAACCCATATCACCTGGTTTCATAATCTAAAACGCCACTACTGAACTAATGTCACAATGGCATTTCATTACAGATTTTCAAATGAGAGAAATAATATTATTAATATTTAGGAATGTATAACACCAATTACTAGTTCGATAGCTCAGTAAAACCTACAACAATTCTGTGACATTTAATTTGTAAGCTTATGAGTGGTTGTTATTGTTAAGGAAAAATTAAGTTTAGGTTGAAATAGTTCCATGGTGTTTATAACAGCTATTACCAATTCCTATTGATCATTAATAATCATGTACTTACCAGCGACAAAGTTTAAAATAAATTTACCGTAATTCCGTTAGAATATTTTTAACTACTAAATAAAATTGACTAAATTAGATGGGTGGTAAACAATAACATAACAGTATTATTAAATGTACAACATGATTGAAGTTAGAAAATATACATCCATTGGATTTCAACTTAATAATTAAATAATATCATACTCACAGGGAGACCTATACGCTTTAAATTTGATCCTTTGTAGAAATCATTAGTCTACGTTTATGTAGTAGAACGAAATAAAAGTGTGTTGTTCTCTCTAGTTTTTAAAGACTCAAACATTCTCAATTTATGTAAATTGTCATAATCCACATAACTAATGAAAGATATATTAATCAAATGGATTTGAATGACGGAATCAAAATCAATTCGGAATTTTAGAAAATCCGTCATTAGAAGCTGTCAGTAATAGAGTTAAACAGTCAGATATCAATATCATAGAATGTGAAACTGATGTTAAGACGCTCAAGAATCCAC